AACCCCTGCCAGTGTTTCACCACCCTCATCGTAAAAAAGTTCTTCCTTATATCTAGTCTGAATCTCCCCTCTTTTAGTCTAAAACCATCACCCCTTGTCCTATCACTACAGGCCCTACTAAAAAGTCTGTCCCCATCTTTCTTATCAGCCCCCTTTAAGCACGGCAAGGCCTCAATCAGGTCTCCCCGCAGCCTTCTCCTCTCCAGGCTGAACACCCCCAGCTCTCTCAGCCTGTCCTCACAGCAGAGGTGCTCCAGCCCTCTGGTCATTTCTGTGCCCTCCTCTGGCCCCGCTCCAACAGCTCCATGTCCTTCCCGTGCTGAGGACCCCGAGCTGGACGCAGGGCTCCAGGGGGGTCTCCCCAGAGCGGAGCAGAGGGGCAGAATCCCCTCCCTCGCCCCGCTGCCCACGCTGTGGGGGATGCAGCCCAGGAGACGCTTGGCTTTCTGGGCTGTGAGGGCACATTGCCAGCTCATGTCCAGCTTTTCATCCACCCATACCCCCAAGTCCTTCTCGGCAGGGCTGCTCTCAATCCCTTCATCCCCCCGCCCGTAACGGTACCAGGGATTGCCCCAACTCAGGTGCAGGACCTTGCACTTGGAAGCTGCCCTCATCTCGCAGAGCTCCTCTCCCAGCACTTCTAGAAGCACCAAAAAGTTTCTTGGAAATGAAGACAGCCAGAGGGCACTGCCTGTCCACTCTTACGTTCCTCCGTTCCCCGTACTGCTTCCCTGTAGCCAGCGCCAGCAAGGAGAATACAGACAAAAGTCCAGAGCAAGGCAGGAAAGTAAGCAAGGTACCTGAAGTATGGTGGTCGAGTTTGACCTGTGATTACAGCTATAAATTGCTTAACTTATTTTCCTGCTTGAGGATCAGCTGCGATTGCAAGCAAAGAAATCCCAGTTTAATGTCTACATAGAACATTGGCGTGAGATGCAAAAACCCTGGTTAGCTCTCAGCAGGCTGCTCCGCTGACCGAGGTGCGCCATTACTTTTGTTCTTTTCAGAACAACTACTGTTCATGTTCCAGACGTAAGCAATCTGCTTATCACGTAAGCTTTCTTAACAAGAAAGCTATAAAAAAAAAATCTTCTATCAGTTCTAATTAGAACTGTCACAGGATCCCAGGCCTTTTAAAAGCTTTTTTAAACAAATACATCCAGAAAAAAAGCATCAGGCAGAAATTTGTTAGTTATACTTCACAGTAAGATTCTTTTTATAAGGGATTAATACATGATTAAGGATGACTTTAGTAAATCCATTTATTTATTTAGTATATATATATTTTAGTTATTTCATATACAATATATAACCTATAATACATAACAGATATTTTAATATATGTTTTATTTAAATGTATGCTTTATTTAAATATATACTTTATTTAGGAAATCCATTATTTTAAAGTTTGATCAATAATGTCCTATCATAGCTTACAACACATCTAAAATTACTGTAATATATAACCCATAACAACTTCTCCTGATTTGACTGGAGCCTCACGGAAACACATGTTCCTTTTGGTTTTAATGCCTGGCTTTAAGATTACAATTAACTCTTTCCAATCTGATTACGAATGGATTCTTACTATAATACGTGACAGCAAGGATTGCCTTCACAGGCAAAACTATCAGAGGCATTCAGACTTTAAGTGATTAAATCATAGAATCACAGAATCGTTCAGGTTGAAAAAGACCCTTAAGATCATCGAGTCCAACCGTTAACCTGTCACTGCCAAGCCCATCACTAAACCATGTCCTCAAGCACCGTATCTATCCGTTCTTTAAATACCTCCAGGGACGGGGACTTAACCACTTCCCTGGGCAGCCTGTTCCAATGCTTGACCACCCTCTCGGTGAAGAAGTTTTTCCTAATATCCAACCTAAACCTGCCCTGGCGCAGCTTGAGGCCGTTCCCTCTCGTCCCATCGCTTGTTCCTGGGGAGAAGAGACCGACCCCACCGGCTCCAGCCTCCTTTCAGGCAGTTGCAGAGAGCGATGAGGGCTCCCCTCAGCCTCCTCTTCTCCAGGCTGAGCCCCCCCA